CAAAAAAAGACGATGAAGAATCATGAAAAGAACCGATCCATATTAGGGTTCTCAAAAAAAAACCAAAACTTTGATTAGGATCTATAGTTTTAGATAATACCTTTTCGCCAAATGGATTTCTGACCGGCTTATGATCTGGGAGCTAAAGACCACAGATATCTACTGGAAACTCCTGAGAATGATGGCCAGAAGGGAGGACGAACAGCTGCTACAATGGAGGAACCACCGCTTGGAAAGAATCACCCGCTAAGGTGGGACAGCGCCGATTGTTTTGAGTCTTGAGGGCGCGTCTGGTGTCGGATTGAGGAGCGGTTTTCACCACTAGATTCTTCTCTTCCAGGGCTTCAAAATGATATGTAGATTGCCTTCTAACTCCTTGTATTTTGAGAGATATGATCATTTGAAGTTGAGCTTCATGCTGATAACGTATTAAGGGAAAAACTCTTATCTTATTGTTTCCATAAGCAGTATATATACATTACATAACTAATGTATCAGAAATCCTAATGGGCCATGAGACATTAACCTGATGGTTAATAGGCCGGTTACTAGAAGTCCATTTGTTTATAACAGTTTTTGAATTATTTTTTGGCTTTTTTTTATAAAAAAAACAATTTTTAATCCAATTAAAATTTTAGTCAAAGTGATTCCCTAATTTTTAGGAAAAATGGATTCTGAAAATAATTACTCATTTCTAAACAAAAAACAAAATCTATGTTTTTATAGTTTTTTTATCACAGATTGTCGATGAATTTGAATAAAAACACACAAAATGAAAAGAGATAAAACTAAAAAAAAACTACCCAAACTATTAAAGGAAAATAACAAAATAATTTGTTTAGCATCTAATATGTAAGATAAAAAATACGAAAAATGACTCATGTTAATCAAAATCTTTCTTAAACTTATAAATAGATCAACTTCTTATTCATAAGTTAACTATTTCTATTCATAAGTTTTGTTATTATTTATAAAATTTTGTGAGCTGTTGTTATGTTAGTAATATAAAACGCATTAAAAAGCTTTATCTATAAGAATTTTTTTAAAAAAGTATAGAAAAACCATATTATAAATCAATATTTGATAATTTAAAATTGATATTTTTATAGCATATATTTTATTAAAAGGATATATATATATAAGGAGAAAGATAAAATCAAAACTAAATAAAACAACATTCAAGTTTGAAAAATACTAAAATCTACTGCAAAACAAAAAAAAACTGCAAAAAAAAAATCTACTACAAAATCAAAAACCAAAATCTGAAAACCAAAAACTAAAAGTCAAAAACCAAAATCCAAAATCCAAAACCTACTCAAACATTCATGGTTTAAGCTTCGATGGGGCTGGTTATGCTTTGCATAAAACTTGGTTTCCTCACAACAGAGAAATTTTGAAGGACTATTCAACAATGAAACCTTAGAACATCTCTAATGATCTTTCAAATTTCATATTTTCCTTCATTTTGAAAATAAAAATGAAGAAATTTTCTCCAATGATACTTCAATTTCATCTTCAAAATGAAGAAATGAATATTAATCTTTCAAATACAAAGGAACACTTCATTTTTTTTTTCAAAGATAACTTTTTTATTTAAAAAATATATCTTTAACTTTTTATATGTTTTATTTTATACATAAACGTAACTCATATGTTCTTTTACCCAATTAATTTTAAAACTGTGAAATTTTCCAATCAAATAATAAAGTAAAAATGCAATAAACACAATGAGAAGATACTTAACATATATTAAATAGAAAATACAAGAACATAGCTAACAACAAATGTAAAAATACATAATTAATATTAAATTATAAAATCTAACATGACATCAAATAACAACTTAATAATCTGGTAAACTGTTTTCAGATCTATTAATATGATTAAAATATTATCTAAATGAAGATGATGTTAAAGAAAGAGTTTGTTGATTTTGTTATTGTTCAACTTTTTATATAAAATTATTATTTTGTTGAACAACTGTTAAAATCTTCTTATATACTAATAAAAGTTGAATCTAAATGCTTATAAGGATGTCCACATAAGATTAAAAAGGGCAATTCTATTGGTCCACATCAACAATCAAAAATAAGGAAAGTTTACAAATTTTTAATATTATTGCTAAATAAATAAATTAAGAAAGTTTACAAATTCTAATTATTTCTGAATAAAAAAATTCTATATAAATTTTTTATTGATCCACCTCAACATTAAAAATTAAAAAGTTTCCAATTTGATTATTATTTTTTAAATTATTAAAGATAAATAAATATTAAAAACTAAAATAAATAATATTAACATAAGAAATTTTAAATTCAAATTAGATGTATATACACATATTTAGAGGCTCTTACAGTAACATCCACATTTTTGTCACATAACTATAATAATTTTTAAGTTTTTTTCTATATGTTCAACCATTACAAATAAAAAAAGGAACAAAAAAATAGAGTCAGATTTCATTTAAGAATGAGTCATTAAAAAGAGAGTGTAAAATCTCCAAATCTTTGCCACTGAATTTGAAAAGAATGATAAATTTCAAATAATCCGAGAAACATGTCAAATGATTGATATGCGACACTTTTGAAAAACGAAGCACTGAAATTAGAAAAAAAATTCCTTCATTAAGACGAAAGAGACTAAGGTATCCAAAGAAATTTTTTGAAATAACATGACATCTGATGGAGTTTTAACAACTTAACCTGAACCACAAAGATAACAATTAGCTGACTAAGCAGCATTAGAATACATTCGGTAAGTCTCAAAACAAGGAAGAGAGACCAAAATCATTTGCCGCATCGGGCCTCGTGTGGGATCTTCCACCTTTGATTTATAAATCTATTACTAATAAAAATTAAAGCTATATGCCGCTAAAAATGCCCACATATGATTTACAAGTTTAATTTTATTTATCAACATCAATTTTTAAAATTAAAAAATTTCCAAATTTTAAAATTATATCATTAACAAAAAAATTATATTTATAATAAAAAATAAAAGTTGAAGCTATATGCCTTTAGAATATCCACATTAGATTTAAAAGATCAATTTTATTAATACAGATTAATAACTAAAACTAAAAAGTTTCTAAATTATAAAATTACATTGTTAATACAAAACAATATAGAAAAAATTGTTAATTAAAATTATTCTATTATTAATAACAGTTAAATATACATTATTATCAAGGCATCCTTATCAGTATTTAAAAATTCAATTTTATTTATATATATCAAAATTATAAATTAAAAAAGTTTTATAATTTTAATATTATGGTTAGGAAAATAAATTAAAAATCAAGAAATCTCTATTAACTGAAAAAAAACAACATGATATTAAAATTTCTTCTAACTTACAAATTTAATTTTTTTATCTATTAAAAATACATGCTACTTATACAAGCTTATGTTACTTGATTATAAGGTTTTTCACCAAGAATTTCAAATAATAATAATTATTTAAATTTTTTAATATATGCAAAACATATTTCCACATAATCTCATGTAATATATTATGCAAAAATAATCAAAAAATTATATTTTGTATATTCGACTTGGAATTGCAAAAAAAATTAATGTAAAAGTTCTTAGTTTTGAGTTATTCAATTAGTTATTTCATTTTTCTAAATTTGTATGTATTAAAATGTACCAGTTTTGCCTACTTAATTATAATTAGAAAAAGTGAGAATGAATATGATGAAACTGAATATAATCATAAAAAATTATTAAAATAAATAAATATGATATATTCAATGAAAAAAGATATAACAATAATAATAATGAACATAATGAAAACAAAAATTCATTCTTATTAGAAGAGATGACATATAATCATTGAAAATTTATTTAGAAGTTTACACAACCAATTGACATAAATATATTTAATTCATAAAGTTTGTGTAATTTTATTTATTTCATATTAATTCAACTATTGTTTTGATTTCAATTTTAAAGTTTGTTATTAATCTCAAAACAAACATTTTATTTATTAGTTTGTTTTTTAAATTAATATATCAAAATAAAAATTTGTATTGGTTAAACAAGAGAAGAAAAAAGATTAAATTTTAAATTTAATTGTTTTTATTGTTTAAAAAAAACACATCTATAATTGGAATAAAAGTGAAAAATGATTAAAAAATTATCTTCTTGATTTATGGAAGTCAATGTATAATATTTTATCATCATGTCAATAATATGTTTAAAATGTAGCATTTGATTAATTTGTAAAAAATTAATTGGTTTGGGTATATTAACTTAAAAGTGTTTAACAAAACAATACGTTTTTGAAATATGACATATTGTATATAGATTTAAAACAAAACCGTTAAAACTTCACAATTTACATAAAAATTATTAGATTACCACCATAATATTTTTAATATATTGTTAAAATACTAATATATAAAATTTATATCTTAATAAATATAATTGATTGCATATAAATTTTATCAACAAACTATCCACGCGTAGCGTTTAGGTGAAAGATAAATAGGTGAAAGATAAAATCAATCGGTGAAAGATAAAATAAAATAAACTAAAAAGTAAAAGATTTTGTTAGTAATTAATAAAAAAATAAAGATAAAATATAATTTATTTTTTCTGAATAAAAAAATGAAAAAAGAATTTGAAGGAAAAAATGAAAAACTCGGAACACTAATAACTATTACAAAGATCTATTCTCTCCTCTAATAACTTTTTCCTTCTTACAAGGACTTCCAACTCAATCAATTGGCAATGAATTAATTTGACTCATGTCCTTACATATTGCTTAAAATCTCTTCTAACTTCCATTGTGAAATATTTGTCCCTTTAGCGTTTTGAGCATCCTGCAAACAACCCAGACATTGAGACAAACTCTTGCAAACTGAATCAAAACTTAACAAGGAAAAGACAATATCCTGGTGAACAGTTTAGTTACTTTAACAATCTAACAAGAGAAATAGTGTTGAAACTTATGTGTCTTACATTATTGCTCCAGTAAAAGAAGATCAAGCTAACTAAACAAAGACGTGGTAAAGGAATCCTAATGACATACCTGATCCTGCATGTAATTAATCTAATTAAGCTAAGAGTAGCAAAATAACCTGAGGGGTATTGCACTCAATGAAACAGTAGCCTAATGTTTTTTGAAGTGATCTTGAAGCTTGAGTGATCCGTTTTGACTACTGACATAAAACAAGTGACAACCAAAAACCAATCCAATCTCAACGTGTTGAATTTTCAACGAGGATTAACATCAGTGATTGTAGCTTTATCTACAGAACAATTGCTCGGTTGAGCCGGCTCCAATCCATTGGCTAATGATCTTGGTCCGTTCCCGAAGAAAAATCCAGGTGGCAGAGGCACAGGCAGAGTTATAGAGCTATTTGTGAGCATTTGATGAATCGTCGACAATGTTGGGCGATCTACAGGATTTTCTTGAACACATAACAGCCCAATATGGGTGTATCTAATGACTTCATCTTTTATACAATCGTCTCTAATACCAGTATCTACAAGCTCAAGCAATGATTTGTTCTCCCAGAGTCTCCAGACCTGTAAAAGGTGTGTAACATATATTCAGAACTATGATCACTGTTTTAAAAAAACAAACAAAAGTTTGGACTTTGTTAGTTTATAATTGCTCACATATGTGACTAAGTTGTTAACTAAACCATCCATTTGGTAGAAGCTGCTATTCTTTCTCCCACTAATGATCTCTAGAATCAAGACTCCAAAGCTATAGACATCTGATTTCGTCGAGAATTGGCCATGTGTCACATATTCCGGTGACATGTAACCACTGCAAGATACGCATTTAAATTGGCTTCCAAATGGTTCATTAATCGAAATTCATCAGTTCCATTTAAGTATATATATACTTACAAGGTTCCAACTATTCTTGCTGTATTGGCTACAGTTTGGTCCATTCCAAAGATCCTTGCCATTCCGAAATCAGCAATTTTCGGGTTCATGTTGGCATCTAATAGAATGTTACTTGCTTTGAGGTCACGGTGTATAATTTTGAGCCGTGAATCTTGATGAAGATATAGAATTCCTCGAGTGATTCCCGCGACTATGTTGCGTCGCACTGTCCAATCCAACTGAACTCTCTTCTTAGGGTCTGCATATTCATACAGAATCACACTTAGCTTGTACAAGAAGTAAACAACCGAGAAGAGTATAACAGAGTTAAAACATAAACAGACCGAAGAGGAAATAATCGAGGCTTTGGTTAGGAACAAACTCATAGACGAGTAATTTCTCTTCCCCTTGTAGCGAAAACCCGAGAAGTCTAACAAGATTTCTGTGCTGAAGCTTTGCAACAACAATAACCTCGTTCTTGAACTCTACTTCGCCTTGTCCTGATGTTTTTGAAAGCCTCTTTACTGCAACTTCAGTTCCATTCATGAGCGTACCCTTCAAATTAATTTACAAAGTAGACATCATCATTTCATTGTTTCTCCACAAACTACGCTAGTGAGGTGGAAACATAGTGTATATATACCTTATAAACCTCTCCAAATCCACCTTCACCAAGCTTGTTACGCTCAGAAAAGTTGCTCGTCGCAGCTTCAATTGTCTTTAAATCAAATTGAACAGATTCCGCTTCAAGAAAGACCAATAATTAGCTCGTCAAAAATGCTCCTAAGCCGTGTGATTCTTGAAGTTGAAATACCAAAACCAACCAGGACTTCTAAACAAACAAAAAAAACTCACTTGGAAGTTCAATTTCTTGCTTTTGCTTTCTTCTCTTGAAAATAGCTACGCCTACACAAATCAATACAATGAAAACGATGATAACAATGACTATCACAGCGATCATTCCTGGCGAGATTCTTGCGTCTGCAAAAAACCACCAATTCACCAAAAACATTATTACACAAAACCAAAGCAAAACAAAACAAGAATTGCTCTAAAAAATGTTTCCAAGAAAGACTTGCTTTTGTTTTTGGTTTTATTGGCCAGATTGTCTACAAAAGGCGTCTTTGAGGGCGGCTGTGAAGGAGGCTGTGAAGGCGGTAATGATGGTGACTGTGGATCATCAATATTATCAAAAGCACCAGAGAAAGTAAACAATTCCCACCGGAAAAAGCAACTTGGCCGCAATAAAATACCGCCTTTCTTCCCATGGTACCCTGTCTTATAGTAATCAACGCTTGTCTTTAGGCAAAGTTCACAATCCTTTGAAGAAATATCTGGAGTGCATTGCATCAAAGCTGTTATGTTCCCGTAAACCGGCACCGGAGCTACGTCCTTTGCATAGTATATACTACTAGACGGTGGTAGCAAAGAAGAAGAAGTAGACGAATTTTTTCTCAATGACGACGAAGCTGATGTGATCAGACGAGACATTAACTCGTCCCACACTTTATCAAAATCCTTCTGGTTTTGTTTTTCTATGTCCACTAAATTATAAAACACACTAACCGGGTTTAAGACGAGGACCCCGGAGAAGGACTTGCTAGCGTAGCGGACAAGGCAAAGGATCTCTTGACCTAACCATGAGAAAGCATCTGTCTGGTTCGGACAGATCTGTATTAAACCGTTGGATTTGATACAGGAGGAGCAAGCGTCTAGTGCAGCACCTGGAGAGCACATTCCCATGGCGTAGACTTTGTTGGGGCCTAGCCCGAACGAACCGTTGAAGTACCCGTCATGATCCGTGACGTTAGAAGCCAAAGTAGAGTCGATGAGACGGCGGTTCTTGTCAAATGGACTATTGGGTTTGAAATTCCCAGCAGTTTCGTCACAAGTTTGTTGTGCAGAAACAGAAATAGCATTGACGCTTATGCTTAAGAAACAGAGGATTATTACAAAGCTCTTTCCCATTTTTTCTTTAGATCATTCAGATTTTGTTTGTGTGTGTGTGTGTTGGATCTTATCAATTTATCGAGAAATCTGAAGATAACATTTGAATACGCACGGTACTAATAACTTTACTATTTTTGATTTCAGTGGGAGACTTGCATATATGATTTAATTCACTTTTGGATAGTGGGAGACTTACTATTGATTATAATTACTAATTTGACTTTCGGTGTGAGACTTGACCCTCTAATAAGTCTCCCTCGAAAGCTTTAGTACATAGACTAAGGTGTTAATTGGTTCACTCATTATCACCCACAAACGCTACGTTTGGGGTTGATAGCCATTAGTAACGTGTTATAACAATCATAGATATGGCTGCAAACTGTTCTGTATCATTTTATACCGCTAAAATTCAAAAGCTGTTTCCCACCAGCGTTTGCAGTTGCGGGCGGTAGCAGTTAGATTAAAAAAATATATGTTAAAAAAATGAAAGATCACGTTAAAAATAATTAATTACAAAATTAGTTTGTTATAATTCTTTTTTTTTCCATAAAGTTACATAGTCAAATGAGATGATATATGCATTACTTCAACCGACCATTTTTTGAGTGCGCTCCAGAAATGACGTATTCTGAAGAATATTACTGAGCAATTTGAAGTTGTTGAGTTTGGATCATGCAAAAAAAATCGATTAGATCAATTGAAGAAATTTTACATCATGCATAAAACAAATCCATGATTCACGTATTGGAGCAATTTGTTTTCCAGTTTATTACATTACTAGACACAATTTTGGGTGATGTTCCCAAACAATTGAAATAAAACATATTATTATAAAATTTATTAGTTTTTATAATTATTTAGATTTTTTATATTTTTTTATTATTAATTACTTTGAACTAGTGATTTTGATATTTATCATAATAATTAGGATAGTACCCGTGCTGTGCACGGGATGAATGTTATCTTTTATACCGAAATCATAAACTACTATAATGTATGTATACAGGATGTTGAATGATATTTGATTAATTGCGCATTTTGTTGTTTTTGAAACAGAATTTATTTTAAGTGTTTATTTATGTTAGTACCATAGTGATATATGATATATGGACTTGATATATGTGACTTACTATTTATTGATTTGTTTTGTATTTTTTTGTTTTTAATAGTTTCCCTTTTTGTAATATACAGAAATGAATGAATTTAACCGATTTCTAATTTCATTCATAAATATATATATTACGCTAATTATTTTAAGAAAAATGACCAAATAAATTGAAGTGTATGATGAAAAGAAAGACAGAACTAATATATTCGACGGATAATATTAATATTATATTTTGGTATATTATTTATGTAATACAACCATTAGAAAGAGTAACATCCAAGTTAAAAAGGAAAAAAATAGAACAACAGAGTGAAGCATAGATGACATCGAAGATCTAGTGATGTGATAGAGAATAATGGTCTTCTTGAAGTTTTAGCTTTATCTTTCAATTGTGGGAATCATTGTTGCTGTTTGCAGAAGCTATTAGAGGCGAAGATGTAACACTATATAATTTATTCATAAAATTTTGTTGTAGTTATTCTACTGTTGAAGTTGTATTAATTTAATTCGTAATTTATTTGGTTTGAGCATAGTTTTTAGTTGAATATGCTTAAACTTATTCGACATATGTTTTTCTTTTAGTATATTAAAGCTGTTTCAGATATTCTAGAGATAACTAATGTCTATTATAATTAAACATGAACGTTATTAGAAAGAGTAATCATGTATATTTACAGAATATACTAAATAAATCGGAGATAAAAACTGAGGTTCTATTTTAGAATCTCATTTCCCTGGTTTTTAGCTAACCAATTTTTTTTTAAAACATTTAGATAACTTTTATAATTTTATATTATCTAAACTACCACAAAGTTCTAAATAACAGAATAAACAGAAATTCGATAATTAAAATACGTCCTTAATAAATAGAAATTAAACAGCAAATATCCAAAGGATCCATAACAAAACATACGATAAGTTTAAAGTTTTAACAGAAATATAAAAGTTCAACATCACACCATAGACTTAGAAAATAAAAATAGTTAAACGCAACAGATGATGATCCATCTCTAGTCGACTTTAGTTGCGCAAGTTCCTTGAGTTGAAGACTTAATTATAGAAAGTTGGATTTTTAGTAAAGTAAAAGGAAATATATTTGAATGCTTACTTGTTCCTGAACTTATAAACTTGATCGATGGGTGGAGCAAGTAAGAAGCGAGAGAAGCCAGTGTTTTCATGTTCATGGATAGTCAGTTCATCTAAAGAGATAACATAAATCATATGAGAAATTGCATGTATGTCCAAATTACTTAAAATTTGATAAAATGATCTAATAGAAATATATACATACCGATATTCTTCTTAACTGTCCAGTCAGTTAAAACACAAATAGCCAAGGGACCTGTGAATCCTTTACATCGTTCTTTGATGTCCACAGCAAAGTCACCATATGCAAAGCATTGGAAGGAATAATCCCTAAGTTGATTACAAACAAAGGGTGAAAAAAAAAAACAGTAACAAAATTTTTTAAAAAGATTAAACTATTATCATACTCTGCATCCTTAAGTGTGAACTCAAGAACTCGCTTTGTTTCTCCATCTGGAAAACACTGGGTGTAGACCTCGCCAATATTTTCAAGACTTCCCATCAAATCTAAATATATAATCAGATATTTCAGTTACTTAAAACAAAATCTTAAAGCATAATAGGTTTTGTATGTCTAACAAAACCTAATTAAGTAAACAGAACATGCAATGAAAAATATAGTTTGTAATCATAACATACCAACTGGATAGTACTACGCAAATGGTTTTCGGTAGATAACACTGAATTCAACCAAGTTGATGAATGGATCTTCTGTCTGTGGCCTGAGAGATCCAGCCTTTGCCTCGTGTGTCAGGATAATTTGGTGACTGTGGTTTGTAGTCCTTCCCTTCATTTCCCATTCAGAATTGGCTATCCGAAAATTAGTTAGCCTCACCCATTTTCCTTCGGTACAGACATATTCAAAATAGGATAGTGCTCTGTTTGTAGGAAATCCATTGATCCTGTTACCCTGAAATAGTATACAGAAATATTAATAAAACTATGTAAACATATCAATCAAACAATGGATAAGTAATGACAAATATATAACTTACATTCTCGTCAACAAATATGAAGTTCATTGCCGGTAAGCCTGCGTCGTCTTTAACTGACCAGCGCTTGTAAACCTTGACCTTAATGATCCAATCATCCCTCCATACATGAAGTTCGTTAACACCTGCATACTCACCCATTAGATTATTCTTTTTTCGGTAAAAGATGGAGTTTTTGGAAGACAGAAGAGAGTAGGGTTTTTTCTAGATGTATGAATGGAAAGATAAACGTTTAGTAGAGAAAATGTAGTATATATAGAAAAAATATTGAACAGATGCGATGGTTGTTATTTTTTGGAAAGTTAAAACATTTTTAGAGAGTTGCAACGGTTGAGAAGATTTGGTATATAGATATGAGGAAGCAGTTATTAATATGAGAGTAACTGTTTCTGATTATTTTAGATTTACAAAGACAATATATGCATTGATAGACGATATAATATAGGGAAGTAGGAAGTTGGTATATAGGGGAAACGCTCTATTTCCCCACCAGTACTTTCATATAATAATCAGTCCACATGAAGTTTAAGGCTCGTTCTATTCCTCCATCATACGAAAGTTCTGACTCTATTTCCCTACAGAATAAAACTTCAGGACTTTAATCCCTGCAAAATGAAAGTTAGTTATGTATTTCCCCATTGACCACGATTTGACTCGGTTTACTGTATATCCGTTAACACTAAACCAACTAAACAAACTACAAGAACCAATGACAGCTTAATTTATGATTTTGAACCCGATTTTAACCCATAAAACTGATTAGAACCCGATTCCACAATAAAAAAACCCACCCGAAATCAACCCTGATAAAATCCCCAAATCAAACACGGGCCCAGAACATGAACCCTAATTTTGAAAACAGAAATCGAATTCCCCTACTCTGATTTGATACTGCGTGAGAATGGAGATGGTGGAGTGGAGCGAAGTCCCTGAATTTCGCGAAGACGAGCCGGAGCCTGAAGTCCCTGAATTTCGCGAAGACGAGCCGGAGCCTGAAGCCCCTGAATTTCGCGAGGTGGATTCTGATGGAGAAGACAGACGTGAGCGAAATGAGTACAACATTGAGAAAGCTGTTATGGAGTTTGAAGATGAAGATCGTGTTCGTCATGATGTGTACCCCGATACAGATGATGAAGACGACCAAATTCAGAACACAGTGAAGATTGATCAGAGGCGTAAGGGTTTCGACCGAGGTGATGGCAACTTGTACCTTGGACAAATTTTCTTCAGTGGCATTGCGTTTAAAGAGGCCGTCCTTGGCCGCATGGAGAAGAACCACCATTGCATAAACCACCTGAACCAGAACAAAGTGGCCGAAAGAAAGGACAAACTTTTAGGGTGAGTAAGAAGGAAAAACAGAGGAAGAAAGGGAAAAATGAATCACCTCTGAAGAAGGCACCAAAACTCTTGAAAAGAGTAATGCATTGTAAAATTTGTGGAGCAGCTAACCATAACTCAAGGTTCCATAACAAGAAAAAGAAACATGTATGTGTAAATGTTGCTTATGGATTTATGGATTTCTGGGTAATGTGTAAATGTTGCTTATGGATTTATGGTTTTGTAGTTGATGTTTTGTGTTTATATTTCTTCTGGTTTTGTTTTTACAGGGGTCTCAAGCTGAAGCTTCGCAAGTTGAGTCTTCTCAGGGAACTCTCACACAGCTTGGTGACTGAAGGGAACTCGGTTTTAGGCAGCTATGTCTGCAGCATTAGTGTTTTTTTTTTTTGTTTAAGACTATCTTGTATCTCGGTTTTAGGCAGCTATGCTTGCAGGATTTGCGTTTTTTGGTTAAAGACAGTTGCTTGTGTCTGTTTTTGGATTGTTTGACACAAGCTTATTATGTACTCGGGTTGCTATTTATCAATCTGGTTTAAGACAATGCTATCTTTGATAAGAAGAGAAGAGTGAAAGAAAACAGGTTGTAATTACCACCAAATGTTTTGACAAAGACACAACAACAAACAACAAACAAAACAAACAAGACTCAACCTAAGAACAAACTACACCCGACAATGACCATAGACCCAACACACGCAAGAGCCACCATTTTCTTCATCTTCCACTCGGATTCAACCATCACCTCTTCCACTTTCTGAAATATCTCTTTTTCCAGCTTCATTACCATCTTCTCATACACCATTTTCTCAATCTCCATTCCTGATCTTGAAATTTCTTTCAACTCTTCTTCAATCCGTGCTGCTCGAAAACTCAGTGTCTCTATCTCATTTTGCAAAGCCTCATCAACCCATTTAAAGACATGATTATCATTTGAAAGCTACAAATTTTCAAAAAAAAAACTGAATCAAAATTGGATGCAAACCAGAACAGTTTAACAATAACTATCAAATACATTTCGTTTACCTTTTGTGTTGCTGCAAAAGCACACCTGTAATAACGCCTATACGGATTCGCCTCCGATTTGGATATCCTTGCAACGATTTTTTCGTTGCACCAGCATCTCTTTGGAACACCTACAACTCTTCCTCCAACATGGCCAATTGATGCTCCACTCGACGTTCCAGATTCATTGCTCATCGTTGTTGGAATCGAAATTGATTTGGGATTTTTTCTGGGTTTGGGAAAAAATTGAGTTTTTAGGGTTCACGATATCGACTTTGGGGATTATTTTTGGGTTTGAAGAATTTAAGGCGGAGCCGGGTCGGATCCAAATCGAGTATTACGGCCGGATCATGTTTTTAAATCGGATCTGGATATATGTATGGTTTATGGTATAGATTCAAAACCGTTTGAAAATTGTTTCAGACCGATATTAAACCGATAAAACCGACTATCGTGGGGATTAAAGTCCTGAAGTTTTATTCCATGGGAAAATAGAGTCAGAACTTTCGTATGATGGAGGAATAGAACGAACCTTAAACTTCATGTGGACTGATTATTATATGAAAGTACTGGTGGGGAAATAGAGCGTTTTCCCTATATATCAAGTCAAAGTTATTTAGGGAATAGATTTACATGAACATAGATTCTCTAAATAATGAATATACTGACAATAACGTTGAAAATCTTTTATTGAATCTTCAAAGATAAAATTATTTCCAATATTATCAATGTCTATGGATGGAATGGTTTGTTCAGATTTGATAGTTGGATATAACATTGTTTTATGCAATTATGATATTTTAGTAAGAAGGTTATAAGGACATGTATCAGATCAAGTGCATCGCAAAAATAGAATTCAACAGTGCAATGATAATCATTGAATGAATAGTAACTTGTAATATGTGTATCATATAGTCATATTCTGTTTACTGATTAAAATAATGAGTATATACAATTAATTCACATATTTAAGAGACAATATGGAAAAAATATAAGGAAATAAAATAAGAAAACTAAACTATGTTTATATTTTCATATGAAATAATTTTTCGAGACAACTGAATATATATATTAGCTATCTCATAATGCAAATTTCAAACATATATATACATATCAATACTATGCGATGTATATATTATGAGAGAAATTTTATAATACTAATAAGCAGACAATTTATATAGATAAAGCAAAATATAATGTCCAAATATTTAAACTTAACAAAAGATAAGAACATAATATATCTTATTTATCATCCCACAAGAAAGTTCAAAAAATAATCAATATTTCATTTCTTCTGCTTCTTCGATGATGATATAGCCTCGGCATCATTCTTCATTGCTCCTTTTGACTTGTTTGATTTCTTCTCATTATTCCAAAACCTAGTTAGACAAATGACATATATAAAAATAGTTATGATTTATGTAAACAAATTAGTGAAAAAGTAAGATTGACAAAATAAAAATTATTACATTTTACAAAAGGATTCCACTACTTCTAACTCAGGGTGAAATTCAAATCTTGTTATTCCACCTCTGCTTTTGAGATATATATTACCTGTAAATAATACATGTATTTTAAAAACATGTCACCATATTTATAAAAAAAGATATAAAGAGTTATACTGTAACACAAACCTCCATTATTTTTGATACTCCAATCAGTTCGAAGACACAAAGCAGGAATTTGTCTAACATCCCATATTTTGTTATTGAAATCAACAGCTAATTGTCCTACGGCATTGCACTGAATCTGCATATCACTACACGAAAAATATGAAGTATATAATTACCCTTTTAAAAAAACTTAAACTATAAAAAACAACATAATGAGCAATGCTTACTTGTGATTCTTCATTGTGAAAGTAATAGAAGGAGTCATTTTGTTAGGCCTATTTGGGCAAGTTTGATCTTTTATAACCTTTAGTTCTTCAGTACTAATAACAAAACCCAAAAGATCTGTATACATATATATATATAAGGACCTAATCAGTTCTTATCAACCTACATATTATACACCTATCTCAATATATATTGAATTTGAATATAAAGTTAGAATGTTTAGCAACAGGGAATTCAGTATCGGCTTCGCCTTTAAGAATTTCTGAGAAAGAATAGAAGCCCTTTCCAGATTCCACTTCCCTTGGTTCAATATCAGTTATAGTCGTATTTTCCAATAACTGTATAGCCCAACCGATTGGAGAATTTGGTTCTGGTAATGGATCTTTAAAGACCACAAAATCTTTGATAGTCTTCCAATCACCCTCGTTAATTTCTCTATCATATAACTTAATCAAACCGGCATGATACAGATATGCTTGAACCATATTACCCTGTATAGAAAAAGTTATGTTCCAAAATAACCAATATAAGAAATTAATAATTATTATAGTTAACAAACCTCTTCGTCCATGAGCATCATCTGTAACGAATCACGATTAGGAGTTCCTTGATCGATCCATTTCTTCAGTACCTTAACTCGGAGGCTCCAATTTGTTCTATCGAGATGCAAATCGTTGATGTGGTCATAAGAAGCCATTACCCTTGTGTGTAGATTTATGTTTGAAAGAGAGGAAAGCAATTTAATAAAATGGATGTTACAAAAGTTGGACGATAAGGATATCTTATTTGACAGGATATATAATAATTAAATTCTTAAAATAAAACCCTACACGTTAAAGGGATTGGAAACCGATTATGTAACCAATACGGTAATACAATTTACTTTATTGAAAGATTCATTCATTTTGGAAAAGGGTATATGCATCGGTCAATCAACTGAACTCTTTCTGCTAAGTATGCAGCTTTTCTGAAATTGAATATATTTAGGCAAACTCATATTAGTCAAACTAATTATTATGAGATGTATTGAATATAGTGAAATATGTTTTTCATAGTGAATAAGGATATAAAATATATCTAAACATAAAATCATATATATATTCCCACAAAAATACATTTAAGTATTTAGGCGAGTAGATTCATACAAATATTTCCATAAAAAATATCTTCAGTTGATTCATACATATATTTAGGTAAATACTTGTTTACCATAATGTGTTTTTCATATATGATGTCTTTGGTAATTGTCGGTTAAATTAAAATATTTATAGTATGGTGTTTAAATATGAAATCCTTGTAATTTATATATGTTTTGTCTTCTAATTCATTACTTTGTTAATTCGGAATCATCAACTTGGAAAATTTACATATTGTTTGTCTAAATAATTATTCACTTTAAAATTTCATCTATGATAAATTGTACTGAATTAAACCAAGTATTATTGAGGTAGACAAAATAAAGAATATCATAAAGGTCGATAGAACAAAAAATTAAAATATAACAAATAAAATAAAAGTTTAACAGATAATCTAATTCGATATGTATCTGCTAGATTATTTTGAATTATTGTCTTATTCATGCCGCATCCATGTGCTCATCCTCTATACCTACATAGTTCAACAAACATATATTGTTAATATAAAAAAACATAAAATTCTTAATAGTATGTGCATTCATCAGTTCAAATATAAATGAAATGTCCACATAATCAGGATTACCTATTTAAATCAATAGTATAGGGTGCACCTCCTACCATTGAAACATGTCCTTCTGACTATACATTTTCGACATAAAGAACGGTCATACAATTCAATAGTTTTTCATAATTAGATATAAAAATATGATGACATATGTAACATACGTACCCTCAAAATGATGAAGTGGTTTAACCGTGGTAGAGATTATGAATTGAATCATTTTGTTGTATGATCGAATAGTGTTACACGATGGTATTTGGATAACAGCAAATTCATCGATTTCAAACCATGATCCCTCAATCAGTAAACAATCATACTTCTCAATCAATTTCTTTGTAACTCTGGCCTGGATCTTATTACCCTGTCAGAGAAAACAAAACACCAGTTATTAGCCATTAGTTTAATAAAATATATAAGTAGCTTCTAATATAGATATCATATTTTTAACCTCGATATCTATCATATTCATATCAATAGTAGTCCCTTTATGTCGACTGTAGTGCTTCCACTTCTTAATTAGTTTAAGACGCACAGTCCATTCTGTTGTAAACTGATCAAGATCCAAAACTTTGTCAATAAGAAGAGACATTTTGTTTTCTATTTAAGTCTGATTTAGAGAATGAGATTCTATATGTAAAAGATAAACATATATATATGAATTAGAAAGGAGTTAACGTGTTAGGGTTTTATTGATTAACTTAACTAATAAGAAATATATTAGGTAACAGAAAGATTATGAATCAACCAAATATTCGTAAATCTTGATTAAATTAAATACATGGTCATATATCTTATAGTCATGTACTAATCTCGGAAACTATAATAACAAAGATCATATATATGTATGGCTACTATATCAATCATTCAGTATCTATACAAACATTCATATAATTTTTTATTTAAAATCTCATACAACTTCTTTCATTCAGTATATAAATTAAAATCACTAAGTGCTGAATAATTTGATCATGTAATACATAAAAGGCCATTTCAATGATTTCGAACAAATATATAACAAAAATATCATTGTATACGAATTACAATTTTTTGCATAGCTAGAAAAACTTAAATGGTAAAAAATGTGGAATGATTATTCACTCCAAGGAAGAGTTTTATATAAATTTTCCTGAAAATAAATTTTCCTTCAAATTAGTAACAATTCATCATATATAAATCAAATATATAAAGAATATAAAAAATAGTAACTTACCAAATAGTTCTACTTGATAAGCTTCTGGAATATTTCTTTGAAGACGACATTCATGGTCTGTTTCTGTGGATTGCCTTCTTTGTCAACAATGAGAACCTTTAGCCCTGCTTTAGACTTAACTCTGGATAGAGCAACATACAACTGACCATGTGAAAAAACAGGTCTAGGCAAATATAAACTAACACTTGAGAGTGTTTGTTCCTGACTTTTATTGATGGTCATAGCAAATGAGACAATCAATGGGAATTGTCTCCGTCTCATTCTGAAAGGGAATTTGCCTTCAGGAGGTGAAACAGACAATCTAGGTGTATAGACTTTCTGACCGAGTGTATGCCCTGTTAACACAATTGCTTCAATGATATGATCAGCTAGTTGAGTCACTTGAAGTCTGGTTCCATTGCATAACCCACTATTGGGATCAATATTCCTTAGCAACATGACAGGTGATCCTACCCTCAACTTTATACAATGATTAGGTAAACCAGAAATCTTTATGTTATTCAAAAAGTCTGGAGTATAAACACTACTGTCATGATTGGAAGTATCTGATGGATCTATAGAATCTGAACTTAGATAAACTCTCTCTTCACCTGTTTACAAAAATGATCAGTTAATAAGCTATTATTAAAAATCATAGTACTACATATAATAAGCCAACAAAATACAAATAACGATTATGTATATAGATTATACCTCGAAGAGCAGACATCATGTAATCATTAATCGCGCATACATCATCATTAGTTGGACATAAAATTTCTCTTTCCTGGAAAAAGTTAGGATCGGTTTGGTCTTCAAATCCTAATCCATAAACAGATTCAACAATAGCCTTAATCGGCTCATTGCACTCTGTTATCAAAAGTTCCTCGGGCATATCAATCATGACTTCCCCTGTATTTAGTAGACTAACCTTACCATCGCCTACCCGAAGAATCCATTCAGAAAAAGATTTGATTTCTTCTGCAACACTTGCATCAATGTCTGCCAGTAAACGCATGTTTTTTGTTAGTTTCAAAACTTTACATTCGTCCCATAGATAAGAAGAACATAGAGATGCCCTTGTGATATCTTCTCTTCCACCACCAGTTATAACAGGCAAGACTTGTCGGAAATCACCACCAAAGACAACAACCTTTCCACCAAAAGGTTTATCTTTATGCCTAGGAATAACATCACGGATACTCCAATCTAAACTCTCAAAACAAAATTTACTCATCATAGGAGCTTCATCCCAAATGATTAATGAGGCCTCAGCCACTAATGCAGCTAAATCTGATCCTGGATGCATATTGCAAGTAGATAGCTCATCTGGATTTAAAGGAATTCCAAATCGTGAATGAGCTGTTCTTCCACCAGGCAATAAAAGAGCAGCTATACCACTACTGGCCACGTTTAATACAATTTGTCCTTTAGAACGAATGGCAGCAGACAAAATTTTCCATAAATGTGTTTTTCCTGTTCCACCAAACCCATATAGGAAAAAAAACACCACATTGGTCTAATGTAACAGCTTCCATTATCTCTGAGTATACTTTCATCTGCTCTTTAGTTAAACCAGGAAGCATCTTATTATGGAGAGTAGACATCTCATCCTTATCATAATTCCTTTCATCGAATAACAATCGATTAATGGAAGCATTATGATAACCATCAGATGGAAGAGGCATACCATCAAAATAAGCCAAAGAACTTTCATTGCTACGCATAATTATCTCAATTGCATCCAATGTATAATTTTTGAGCTGGTCTTCAGAAAGGGTTAAATCTACAACAAACGATGGAAACAATTAATAAAATATAATATGATGGTTATGTCATAGATATATTTTGTTCCAAATATTTAAGGAAAATACCTTCTCTGTTTTCTAATCTCCTTCGTCGATATATGATATCATCTGAAAGAAGTTGCCAAGTCTCATTCCAAACTCCACATGGATTAAGAATACTATCCGTAATGAGCATAACAGCAAAAAGTTTCCTTAGGAAAGATCCGGATCCCCAAATGCTTGCTTCTTTCAAAGCTTCTATGTATTCAGTGTCATCATCTAGCAAACCCAAAGCATAACATGCATCCTTGAATGTAGGATATAAAACTTTGTCAACCGTTTTCAAAAAATCAAAACTGGTTGGACATTGGACCATGTTTAGCAATACACGTAAATAGTAAAGCTGACCACATGATAGAGGAACATATGTTAGTCTCCCTATAGCCATACCCTTTTGTCTTGGCCTCCACTCAACCTCTTTTATGTCGTATATAAACACTATTGGGAATTCGGCATAGGTGAGATTCTTCGATAATTCAGGATATTTGTTGCAAGCTTCAAAGAAAGCAAGTAGCATTGAACTCTGAACTGATCTGCGATTAAGAACTGTTTCTACCGGGTCATCATCACCATACATGCATGGTTGTTCTCCAGGGAGATGGAAATATAATTTTTCCACAGGCAAACTTCTATAATGTATTGCAAAAGCAAGTATACGCCAAGATGCTTCGCAAGCAGATACATATCTGTTGATTTATTAAGCAAATTATAGATAGTTAAACATATGAGGAAAACGAAAATATAAGTGTTGAATACTTTTAATTGTAAGTTCGATAAACAATAAATACCTGCATTCAAAATACTCTCTAATCTCATCTTTAGTAACTTCAGATGCGTCGTCACCATCCTCGTTCGCAAACTCACCAATGTCTTTGGCATTATTCTCGATAGTAGCTAAAACTCTATCAGGACCTTTTGTGGATGTATTTGAATAAATACTTGATTGACCTAGCTTGTGTACACCACTCAACATTGATATGTGCTCTATAACGCAAAGATAACTTCCTGTTATATAAGTCTGATACCATTTTTCTCAACAAAATCATCAGTTTGTCTCCTCATGTAATGTGGAAAACCAATGTTATCAACAACAGTCCGGTCACAGTATTTCTTTGGAAACATCTTGGAACACCGTCCATTTACCATGCATGGAGAACTCTTATTTATATTACCACATGGACCATGTATCATGTTCTGCTTCACAACTTCATATAACTCAGGATCAGTTTCTTTATTAGGAATCTCAGCTGATATTACTTTATCTATTGATTCAGGTGTAGGAAATTTGTATTTCGATGCCATCCAAATCAAAATATGAGCATGAGGAAGTCCTCTCTTCTGAAATTCAATTGTATAGATTCCTGTAAAATAGTATAATACATAATCAGTATCGTAAAATATATGATATTAGTATATGAAATGACATAAACTCGATTTACTAAAACATACCACAAACAGTTTCACCAAACAACTTTTTTCAGTCAAATCTGTCATTAGGGATTCCAGCTTCATCTTGAATATACGACAACAAATATCAGGCCTGTCTTCAGGTTTGAGATTTCGTTTCTGACAATACCTAACAATCTCTGGCCTGTTTGGATTGCAAGTGAAAGTGATAAATAAATCGGGAAATCCGAAGTATTTACAAATAGCCATTGCATCCAAGTAATTGTTATTCATGTACCTAGAACCACCAGTGAATGATGCAGGAATCAAAATACGTTTTCCAGTATTGGATAGATCACTTTGGCCTTCATTATGCGCTTCAACTAAATTTACAAACTTCTCAGACCTAAGTTTGACTTGGTTGTTCCTGAAGTATCGTAATCTATTAGCTTCAATCATTGTAAATACGTCGACCAAAAATTGCTGGTATAGTCGTTTAGACCGAATTATTGCCTGAGATTCCATCAACCTATCCTGAATTCGATATGAATAATATTCTCTCATGCTGATAGTCTTCCGTTTTCTGTCCTCTTTATGTGAAAAACCATCTTCAATACCAACTTGATAGCCATCTTCAGCGTAAGGAAATAATAGAGGATATTTCAGAGCTAGATAACCAACGTATAATTCACTGATTCTTCGAAGACTTCCATCCTTTGCTTCTAACATAATGTCTCTATTGTCTAACCCTTCTTCAAAATCACCAGGAATTAATGCAGCAACTTCCGTTGCAGTTGGCAAGTTATGTGTTCTAGCATCTTTGTCTCTCTTGGCTATTAGAACCATTCGGACAGTATCCTCAATATCTGAATTTTGGTACCTGTCCTTGTAAGAACGAAAAGCTTTAACCAAAGGATTGAAATGATTTAACATCTTCATTAAAGATTCAATTAGCTTAGGCCGTAGCTTGTTGTCAATTTTACCATTCTTGCTGTAAATGAACATGTTAAAGCATGGTGAAAATTAGTCTACGTAAACACAGTCAGAATTAAACAATGAATAAATAATTATGTACCTTAATGAAAGTTCTCTATTACGAATCTCATTAATTGTATCGTGAATATAAAGCTGTAAGAACTTGGGTTTTTCATTTGCATTAGGCATCAAACTACCAATAAGATGGTAGTTTTCACCATGTAGCTAAAAAACCTGTGGTCCTTTGCCTTTGTTTATATCATGATTTATTTTGCCTCCTATAGAGGTAAAAGAAAACATCATGTTATATGCTCTAATATTTTCACGGAAATGACGACAAATCTCATTGTCACTTGTGAAGAGATATAACAGTAGAGGAGGAGGTTGTTGTAACATTGGGAGCTTTACTTTTCCTTGCATACAACAAAGCGTGAAAATGTATGTCTTCAATTTTTTTTTCTTGCTGATCCTTTTGTTAAACCACATACGGGCAGAGCAGTGTGTACAATGATAAATAGGGTCGCCATCATCGTAGTACCCTATAACATGACGAATTCTAATTTATTATATATCAGTAAACAGTAAGCTGATACATCCAAAGTCAACTACGTTACCATTAGGCTGAATTACAGGTCCAATATCTAATTGAGATTGAACAGTACTACATTCAGGGACGCCATGATCATTTGCAGGTGTATAATTCCTTTCTACACCTTCCAATGATAGTGTAGATTGTAAACCACTTGGATCATAGATTGTCGAAGATCCTGACAACACAGTAATGTTTATGGAAGTAAATAATATAGAAAACTTTAATCATAATGACGATAACCAATAGAATACCTTACAATACACGACCATGATTAATAATATTGTGGAAAGATATGAATATATATACCTGAAGCTTGAATGTTTGCATGTCTTTTTTTCAAGATAACCTGTCTCCTATTAATCCTTGACAATCTTTGATTTTCAAAAATGGAATTGGTAATGTTACTTAGTGGATTACTTTGTGATTGAGGAATAGGAACATTGGATGTATCTATACAAATATTAAAGCAATATTAACAATTAAAATACGTCCAAAATTAAATTAAAGTATTTAACAATTACCCTATCAACTAATACATGATTATACTTTTCCTTTTCCTTCCTGGTTTTTTTTCCATGGTTGTTAGATAAAGTAGAAGTCGATGAAGTAACAGAGCCTAATAAACCAACTTATCAAAATGTTAGATAAGATAAAAGATAATTTCTATGTCATATACATCATAATTATAAACAAAGTTTTGAACATATTTAATACATGATACCTGATTGCGAAATAGTTTTGTGTGATTTATTACATGGTTGCATTGTTTTCTCCATAGCAGAGTTCCAAAACGAAACAACTATTAATTGATAATATGAAGGACACAATTGTGATTAAGCAATCTCTTTAATTAAGCAAGTATATAAACAATCAGGATATAACAACTAAGTTATTAAAGATACGGGCAGACTCAATCTTTTCACATGTGTTGTATCTTGATGGATCATCTCTTTGTTTTGCTAGTTGATGTAAATCAAAAAATGAAAAACTCATTATATAAAACCTAAATGATACAATAGAGATTGAATTGAAAGAAATATAAACGTACGTGCAGTTCTAAAACTTTTAGATGGATGACTCAATTCTAGATTTTCATTTCTTGAACTTGAAGGTCCATCGTTGAATTTGAGATTTCTTGTGACATCTGTCATGTTTCTATCGGGTAAAACATTATTTCCAACAATGGGTTGATCTAATTTTCCTGAAATGAATATGAAACAAAGTAGTCATAAGTATTTAACATTTTTTAAAATAATAAACAAAATATTAAACAAAATATATAAAAATAAGCTTACTTGATTGAGTTTTTTTCCTTCTGGTCGTATCAGGATTTTGGTTATATGTGATATTTGAGTATCCTGATGTAGAATATCGACTATCACAAATATTTGATGTTGGTATAGTTGGCATAAATTGATTTGAGCCATAACATGGAGTGACTGGACTTGCTAGATATTTTAAAGAAAATAATTTAGTTATAAAAGAGGTTTCATTAAGTTACCAATAAACATAAAGAAGAAGGGTTAAAAAAATACTTGTTTGTGTACCTGTGTAATTTTCTTTTTCTGTTACTGATGTTACAGGAGAACAACAAAATTTAAAGATAATGCAGTTGTCAATGAATAAATCGATTACAATGAAAATAAATAAACTACATACTTGGACTAAGTTGGTTCCTTTTAGGATAACTTGAAGCACTGGGGCCAGTTCGGGTATTACTGATATCTCCTAATATATTTTGGAAAACACCAGGAATTGAAATTGGAACTGACAATGCTTTTCGTTTAGGGATAACTTCACTCTGCCCATTGGCATCTGTATATAATAAAAACTTCGATGTTTCACTCCATGTTTATTATCTAATTACCAAACAATCATAAATAGTTGAGCAATATAAGTTGTTCAATGATGTTTCATATTGGCCCATAGGAAATAAATATAATACGTACTCAAACTACATTGATTCCTTTTTCGAGTACTTGAAGTCGTCGGGGGGTTCTGAATATTAATGATATCTCCAACGTTATTTTCGAAATCATCAGGATTTGAGATAGGTACTGGTAATGGTACTCGTGCAGGGGTAACTTGAATATGTCCATTGTGTTCTGTAAATAATACAAAAATATATATGGAACTTTTAGATAGAACATTTATAAATCGGATTCTTAAGTAATTTTTTGTACTTTCTTAAGAATATACAAACCCGAGTATAAATTTGAGTTTATTAGCGAATGAACCATAACTTTATTACCTGGGTTGATGAACGATATATGCGTAGGATATATTTAATATTAATAATTTAAAAGTAGTATGCATCTTAATAGGATAGTTACAATATTCTAAAGATTTGTTAAGATTACAAATAAATTGAGAATTTATCTAAACATGGAAACTTTAAGAATTAGTTTAAGTTCTTTTAATTATGATTGGTTGTGTTAATATTCACCAATTAGCATCTATATATGACAGAATATAGTAGTTACGATCGTTTTCCTAATTTTGTAAAATGTAAATATATTTCTAATTTTATATTTAAATACAGAGTTGTTTTAGGATACAACTGTAATTGTAAGTGCTAAAAAAAATATATGTATTGCCAAAGTATTAATGACTCCAAATATCTTGCATGAATGTTGTAAATATTAATTGCCATGCAGAATTTCTTTTCATATTAGGCTTGAGTTTGGCGAAACCATCTGTACATGCAGGTATTTTACTTTGTTATTTATACTAATAAATTAAAATTCAGCAGTTCCTAATTAAATAGCAAAACATAATATAGTTTAAAATTCCTGCTTTTTTTAAACTTCAAATAACAAACCACAGCAAAACTGTAAACGGAAAAAGACAAATCCTACGGGCTAGGAAAAAAATAACCGAAACTTAAACAATGAGATATTGTAGTAAATCCTAAAAAACAAAGCAAGCAGGAGAATGCATATTGTTAAAGAAACGAAGACTTCAGTCATCAACTTTCTCCTTCTTAACAGGCTTCAGAGAAATCTTTACTTCACTCGCCAAAGCCTTCATGTCCCCATTAGCAGCTTTCTTAGAAGTAGACTGCTCTCCATTATGATCATCAAAGTCAATCATCTCATCGCTTTTCCTTTTTGACTGTGGTGAATTATCATCGTCGCCGCTGTCAAGTAACATCTTAGGAACCTAAAATGACAAATTTAAACAAATACGTTTATGCACAGTCATATAATATTAATGAGAGGCATCTAATTCCTAAATAGCAAACCTGTTCATCGGGAGTTATAAACCCCATTTCCTCAGACTTGACATCAGGGGTAGTCTATAAATAAAACAATAAGTTAACAATGATCAAAAGGCAATGAAATATGAATAAATACTAATAGGAATAAATAGTTTAAGGATCAAACCAAAAATCCGGATATTTCTGAGAATTCTTTGACCATGTCACTTTGGGTCACAATCTTTGTAACTTTGTAAACATCACTGTTGAAAACGATGTTTGAACTCTCAATAGATAGCTTGAACAGAAAAGTTTTCCCACAAATGTTACTAATTGGAAGAGGGAGTACATCTGGATCTTGGATCTGCAAACAGTTTAGCAAACATATAAGTTTTCTAATATATATAGTAAGATTCACTATAATAGAGTTGATAGTAATCTGCATAACTACCTCTTCCACAGATTCAGTCAATTGTGCAGCTGTTTGATTTACAACTTCCATGGCAAGCTTATCAAAGAGTAAGAACTTTGTTTCGCCAGTGTTGTCCATAACACGGAAAGTCAGCATAAACCTATGTTAGCATAGAACAACATATGAATATGAATATATATGGAAATTACAAATATTCTTTTTTCTCTACAAATTGCATCCAAGACTTACGCTGGTACGACACTTTCAACATCATCCTTACATTTGCCACATTTCCACAACTGTTTAGGAAATGGCCTACCAGGATATTGCTCTTTCAACAAATCCATATCAAGAGGAAGCACCTTTTTAGAGCACACTTTGCATGACATATAGTACCATCCAAACTCAGTGTCAATAGACATGATGGTAGCCATAGTCACACATTTTTCAACCTAATAATTGAAGCATTACTTTCTTTTAAAAATCCAATCGCCATTTGTTGTTTAAGAAATATGTATATCACGCAAAATAAATACCTCAGATGCACCAAGTATTTCACTTATTGTCCGCCGAGGGGTATGTAATCATCTCTTACAGAAACAGAATTGACAATGGTCAATTGGTTAGGGTGTGTGTATGACAAAGTCACATCATCTTTTGGTAAGCTGTAAAGGAAAAAAAAATCATGGATTTTAGGGACATGAAAGTAAACTAAAAGGAAAATTGATAAAAGTTATAGATATGAATATACCGGTTTCTAAAAGAATTTATTTCAGGGAGATCAGGATCTGTCATCACAATGGAAGAACTATAACAATTGTCAATAC